ATATCAAGTGAACTGTACTATGACCTTCGGGTTAACCGGAAATGACATTAAATTTGAACTTTCAAATTTGATACAGGATGTTTGTACCAAGTTTTAATACAAAGTTAATAAATTGCCTAATGTCTATTTTGTTGATTTTCTTTTTTGGAATTGTTGTGCTTCCGGTTAGATTATCTAATTGTTTTGTTCAGAAAGAAAGTTGAGTGTACTAACTACATGCAAAATATCGTAAGTAATGAACCGTATCAGAAGGTACTTTTCTGGTGTTAATTAATTAACTATAAATATAGAATTTAATAACCTCTGCGATGATAATCCCCACTGCAATTATACGTAAAGGGTGCTGGGCGTTAATTATTGTAGAAACATTAAGGAAGGAAGTTTCGAAAGTAATGTTTCCGTTTGTCCATTTATCGGCATAGGTAGGAAGGTAGGTAGGTATGGTATCTTATTCATAATGAGTACATATGTCATTGGTCCATGACCGAGTTCAAGGAAATTTTTTTGAACTTTAATTTTTATTATCTTGTTTACAACTGAATTAGCGGTTTGGTTTTCAAATAAAAAAATTCTTAACGAAATTAGACCAACCCCGCGTTGTCGATCGATAATACTACTAAAATAGTTGACAAACTTTTCCAGGAATGCTATTTTTAGCGTAATTATAGATTTGATGGTTTTATAGTTATGCCATGAGCCAAATAAGGTATTTTCTTAATTAATTATTCATTGGCGACAACGGAGGAATCCCATTTGTGTACAAACAACATTCTATCGGTTTATTTTGTAATGATTTTCTCCAAACTTTTTCAATTCGAAGATGAAACAGTTCAATTTTTTGTTTAGTCACAACAGTGTGACTCATTTTATTAGAAATGTTGCACAATTTGGTGGCCATACTTATCTATCGCTAAATAAGTGAATATAGACGTTTTATCGCAACGTAAATACATTTAGTTGTAAAGGAAATAGATATTTTTATCTATCATAATAACTGTATCAGTTGCATTTACTCTACAATTTGTGATATTTTAAAATTTTGAAAATGCATTATAATACTTTTCACATGCTCTTAATTACTGAAACTACTGAAAACAATGTACCGAAATTCAACAGTTGTTTAAGTAACACGACAGTTAACGGATTTGTGTTTGCAACAAAATTACTAAACGAAAAGTAGCCCTAAAATAAATTAAAGCTACGTTTTGTAGTCATCTTGTCTATAATTTTTGAAACACCTGTACTTAAATTACCTTCAGGTAAGAAGGCATCTGAAATTTAAAAGAAAAATAATTTAATTTTAGAAAATATAATCATGCAGTTTCACTATTTACAAACATATTTTTATATTAATAACAAAAGTATTTTAAAATTCTTGAACTTCAAAATATTAAACCAAAAGCAAAGTCATTAATCGATGTCCGTGAACATAAAAGGAAGAACCGGAAAACTAGTGACCTTTAACCTACCGAATCCCAAGTCGTCTGGTGTCCACTGTCCGACTTTAATTAAAATTGTTCATATTTGGTATCATAACAGGTCCGAACAAGAAGGGTATTTGGGCATTCGCAGGTAACAAGAATGTTTATTTTGGTTTGGATTCAAGTCGAAACATCTAGCTAAATAAACAGTAAGGAAATAACCTGAGTGTTTTAATAGTGAATATTAACGGAAGTTGCGTGATGCAAACATCAAGACTAAAAACGAAAGCATGAATGACAGTGTAGCAATGTTCACCTACTCTACCGTATGACTAACACTTATGTAAATCGATAAATTTACATGTTTTCTAAAAGATAAGGACACCCCGCGTCCAAGCCTTCCGGGAACTTCCAAATAGGAATTAGTGAGAAAATCTACAGTTGGAATTTTGGTTGTTTACTCACAGTTCTATTATGTAAAGCCGAACGGGTGCCTACTTTTAACTCCCTTATCAATTTGTTATTTGATCAATGGACTGATACGTCTCGATAAAATTAATTGCGTAATTCTAAACTTCAATAAATAGACAAAATTCATACAGAGAAACTTACTCAGTTCGCACAGACATGGTAATTTTGGTGAAGACTCTGCCTTGACGTTGTTAGCGACTGTATCAAATTACTTTTACTGGAAAACTAACAAGTCTTACAAACTGATATTAAACTGTTATCTCAAGTTTCGATTGAACATTCAATAAATCGATCGTTAAAACAAAGATAAATTAATTCCCTAATTATTATACTTTTGTTTAGAACAACAAAGAACAGTGAAATTGCAGAAAATTATGAAATACTTTATTATTGTCACTTATCTTATTTACTCTAGCATGAATATTAAAAACAAAGAGCTGACGTCTTTGTCAAAAGCATTGCAGTTCTAAATGTTATACTTTATAATCGCCACGGCTAGTTTATAATGTCACAATAGCATACAAATGTGGATACTTTTAAGTCACCCTGGATTCCGAAATCCACCTATAAATACCAGCCTCTCCATTATTTATAAATACAAACAAACAAAAATCGCCAAGCCAGTATTATTTCCATACAAACTGTTATTAATCGACATTTTTTAAAAACACATGGAACAATTAGCCAATTACGTACTACAAAATTATTTTGTATAGCATTCTATTTTTGATAAGTAAGAAGTAACAAATGTAAAAGACAGCACGTAAAAATTTAAAAAATCTAAATTACAAAAAATTATTAAAGGTCAAAGTTTCCATAATAAATTTGTGTGTAAATGTTACCATAATAAAGAAAGCTTTTGCGCTATTAGAACTTGGCTGAAATCAAAAAACGTTTTGATTTTTAAATATATTTTTCACTTATTTTTTTTTAAATCCGTCATCTATTTTTAAGAGGTAGGGCGTAGGTATCAAAATAAAAAAAATAGTTAAAAATGACAGTACCCGCAATCAGTGATGCTAAAAGTGTGTATAAAATGTTTCCAAAAACAGTGTCACAAAGTTGCATTTTATGCAACTGAAAACAGTGTGACACCGAAATAGAAAAATAATATTTGTTTATCAATTTTTGAGAATGCAGTACCATCTTAAATAACGTCATAATTATTTAAGTAAGATTCATTGTGGTAAAGCACCGTCATGATGACACTACTGATCAAACAATCATTGTAACTCAATGTTTACCTCTTATTAGAAAAACAACTGAGTCAAAATTGGAGAATTACGAGTAGAAAATCGTCCCTCAATTATTCAATTAATTACTTTTTCCATTGTTATCAAGATCCCTCCGCAATATAACATTTCACTTTTATTTTAAATTAAATTAAATGTTTTGTTATTACTCTCTACTTTTGTACTTTTGTAACAAACCTTAATAATTAATAAACTATAAACAAAAATAGATGCTCTAGTAATTAAACGAAAAGATTATCTGACATAATTCTTGAGACAATAACAATTTTGAGAGTAATACTATGTATTACACTCATAAAACAATATAAAAATATTGGTAAGTGTATAAAAAAGCTATTTGAAACAACAAATACACATATAAATAAAACCTGGGGTTTTCAGAAGCAATAATAAAGTCACATCCTCAAATTGAAAAAGTTCCCTACAAATTTCCTTGGAAAGTTTCTAGAATATTTATTGGTGTGACCACTCAATTCATAACAAGATTTTTCTCTTTGCATAGTGACTGGAAATACCGTTCACGCATTCGAATGCTAAGAAAATCTTGAATCATCAAACGAGGCGCCTGTAGTATGTATGTTGTTGTATGTACATACATACTACATACGCAAGCCATAAAACCTTACAATTGTGATAATCATTGCAAAAGTATTTTTAGAATAAGATATTTGGATTACGGATCCAACAATAAACTCTATAACAAAAATTTCTCTACAAAAGAATAAAAAAGCATCCAAAACTAATTTGTAGTAAATAAAATTTTCTGATTAGTTGATGCCAATATTAGTCGACTTGTATCGAACAAAGTAGGTCGTTGCTGTATCTATCTGTTGCTCAGTACTTGAAAAAAGAAAAACTAGATTCCAACAAAATTAACTGAAGCAAAGCTGTTATTGGCAGATCTGACCCAGTTTTAACATTAACCTGACAAGTGACAGGTAATATTTGTTAGCGCGGAGTACAATATTATGAAGGAGTTTTATTTTCAATTTAAACAAATAAATTCAAAATTATTTGTAATTTCAACTTTTAGAGGATTAGAGGACTGAAATGTGGTCTATACCTATAATTGTTCAATTTGTAACATTTGATTAATGTTTATTCTTTTAGGCGGTCTGTTGTAAATGCATTAGTACCAAAACAATTGGACATAACATCTTGATGCCCTTTACAAACATTATGAAAAGATTACTACCACGTGGTAACAATTTATCTCAAGGATAAGAAAAGTTGATAATATATTCAGAAACCTATTTATAACATCGCAGCTTAGGTAACACGTGTGTAAAAGGCAACAAAATGTTCGTTAGAACAATGCGATCTAATATAGCTTCCTGTTTATTAATCAAAATAACTTCTAATTCATTCACTACACTATTTTTTGGTGCTTTCTCTCAGTTTATCTGTTTATGTTTTAGACATACATGCATATGTAATATTCCTATCAAAATATAGTAGATTTTTTTTCACAAGTGAGCAAACACGGTGCAATAAAATTAATATAATTAAGTCTAGTGGAACGATAGCTCTTAATAGGGCCAATCTTGAATTATGTAACGTGCTCTCTCTGTCTCCCTCTTTGAAGCGACTTTATATTATATTGCAACTGTTAACCGTTTTAATGGGTTCTTTGTGTTTTCTAGACTTCTAGAGCTGATATTTGAATGAAACTAAATTATATTAAGTACAGTAGGTCGAGATAATTAATTAAGTCACACATTTGTTACGTTATTGTACCTTTTACACGTGTGTATGGTCACCACAAGGTTAACATAGCAAAATCACTTGCACTTAACTTTTTGCAATAAAATTTTTATCTATGTTTTCTAGGTTTAGTTTGTAATAAAAAAACATACTTGATTATAATGTTTATTTTCGACATTATAATACATGAATGCCATAGGCATCAAAAAATATTTTAATACAAATTATTGCGATTGTAACAAAAACGTACATTCATAACATAAATTTTACCACAAATATCTAGGAAACAAATGCCCTAGAAAAATGTGATAAAAACAATTTAATTAAATACCTACACATAGTAACTGACAATTAGTGAAAAACAATTAAAAAAAAAATAAGTCGTCTATTCTTATAAACCCATTTTGTCCAGTAAACTAACTAAAGAACACAGTCAAAAAAACAAAACAAAATCAAATGCATCTACCAAGTGAATATAAAAATCACATTTTTTCCCATTGAGTTAAGAATTTATGCATAACAACTATATCACAAGAACAGCAATAGAATCAGTTCAATAATCTAGTGCATTTTAAATAAAACACAAAAAATACTTAAAAATGCGGTTCTGATAAAATTAAATTAATTAGTTAAATTAAATAAAATGCGCAGGCATGTCTAATTCGGTTTAAAGAAATTACAGAACACGGCATGTGCAACAACTAAAAGGTCAGTGTATGAAAAAAAAAATCGTACAGATCCACTAACTGACCCGACTGTTGAACAAAAAACCAACATTGTTATGTATTTTATACACATACTTAAAATTAAATTAAAATCGCATCTGAAAAATCAACGTTCGTATTTTTCATGTGTGATTTTAAGACACCTCATCTCCCCCATGCTTGTTTTTTGAGAAATTTGATATAAACATTTTTGGATTTTTTGGATGAGGGAGAAACAAATCTGGGAGGTTTATTTTACAATCACAGATATGGAGTAATAGAGTAAGAGTTCCAAACTAATTTAACACTATCTAAATGTCCGGTAATTAAGCGTAATACAGCATTTTGTAAAAAATTCAAATTCTCTCTTAAGCGTATAATACTAAGAGACAAAAAAACGGAAAAACGGGACTAGTCTCTCGTCCCCGACTATACGAAATGTGTGCTTCTTACGTCTCTTTGGCTCGGACTGTACTCTCGCTGACGCAACGTTTCCAATTTCTCACATACAACACTCACAAAGGAACATTTAAGGACAAAATAAATTAAACGCAAAATTATCGAATTTAGCTCTCTTGGGAGTACAGCCGTAGAACAGGGCTATTCTCCTCATCGGACTCGTAGAAGTATCTCTGTTTGGGGGTGAGCCCCAACTGCACCCTGCGGACCGCCTCGTTCACCAAACTACCGTCTCTGAGCAGTTTCTGCAGGAGTTCGTAGGGGTCTTCCTGCGCCTCCTGCTGCAGCCGCCGCTTGTTTTTCCTGATACACTGATCGCAGGCAGACGGGGCCGACTCACAACACACTTTCCCTGGGATGCGGTAGGGCGACGCTCGCGACGACTTCCTCGACAGGTGGCTGCAGGGTATCGCCTTCATCGTCGTCGCCGACAATCGCAGGTTCTCCTTGATCTCCAACACCAGGCCCTCTACGTCCTTCGAACTGATGTTAAATTCCGGGCCCCTCACAGGGTTCATCGTGCTCACGGTGGTGCGCATATCGGCTGAAGGCATCTCGGGCATCCAAACACCCCGAACGACACTCACTTTCGATGCGAATTTTACTTTGTTTGTAAATAAACCACGCGATTATACACAACGACCTCTCTCCGCAATGTTCTCTAATCGACTGAGAGCGCCATTTCGTGGCAGTATACCAACCTCGTTAACTGTTGTTTGGGTGCTTTCACGAAAACATGCGCAACCGAAAACTAGCACCATGTAAACATTGAGTTTTTACGCTTAAATTACGACCAAAAACCACTTGTTTTTGCACATTGAGGCCTTCAATCAGCAAGCCGGACACGTGTGTCGACAATTGGGCCCCAAATGTGTCTTTTATCAAGTCTACAATTATGTAAACATTTCAGGCCATCGGCGTAGGAAAAACGAATCAAGGTTACGTTACGTCTACATTCAAGGAACGTAGAATGGCAGGAATGACGTCACAGGAGTGGGGATAGCTTTACTATTTATTTACAATAATTTTGCCGACAGACGGGGTGAGGGGAAAACTTAAGAAAGTTAGTATATTGTGTACATGTGAGAAATTAATGACAATGATTGTTTATCGTGTTAAATACGTCGTTTGGTGTTTATTTTCGCTTGCAACTGTAATTAATGAGAAATTTGCCAATAAATACATGTGGAAACTACGTAAAGTTGATTCTGTTTTCTCGCGGTGCTACACCGAATATTGATTACTTTGCTAATTTTGAATTCATAAACAAGTCGGCTAGAAGGAAGGAAGTATTGAGTAATAAAACCATCCTAATTTGGATAAAAGTTCCAATACCACAAAAAGTCTACAAAAATTTGCAGAAACAAATTCGGATTTAATTGGCCATGTTCAACTTTTATTAATTATTACCGTAACTTTGTTTTTAATAAAAAGAAACTACTACAAAACTTAAAAAAAACAACCTCTTTTATTATTTTTATAAAAGATATTTATCGCAATAATAAAAATGTTGTATATCTTATTATTACAAATAAAAATGATTGTTATTGTAAACATTCATCGGAAATATTTTTAACTTAATTATGTATAATATCCACGGGCAATTATTTATAAAACAAAAATTGTCAACAAAACAAATGTGGAATTATTTCTGTACGTTTAAGCAATGAATTTACTTAAATATTCGTTGATTAGTAATTGAATTAACAAACTTCAGTGGTACATAAAGTTTATGTCTTTTTTTTTTCTAATATAACATTAGGTATTATTGTTAAATTACAACTAGTGAACCAACCAAAAATCACAAAATACATGATTAAAAGTAAACAACAATTGGTCGCGTAATTATTACCCAAAACAAGTTTTAATTGAACAATAATTAGCATTAATTTCTGTTGATACATAAAATTACATGCAAAAATCATTAACTGAAAAATTCCTCTTTTCGCATCGCATGTGGATTTATAACAATAATAAACAAAAAGGAAAGTTCCGATACTTAGAAAACTTCCGTAAATTTGTTAAAAATTGACGAATCAATGTTTGTATAAAAAAAACTTATAAGGGTTCCTTAGATTCAAAGGTTGCTAACCACAAATTTAACTAAACTAAACTTTAAATAAAGTTTTGTGAAAGTAAACAATTGCCAAAGGCCGTGTTAGTTGCAATCGGTGCAAAAATATAATTAACGATATTTCATTTAAACCATAATACCGCTTATCACAAAATGATAAATGAGCTATAAATGTAACCAAAAATTAATTAAACCAATACTCAATACGTCAGCAATCAATATTAATGTTCTTATCAGCAAAATAATCAAATAAATTATTTTAACCTAGGTAGCGCCATCTTACAACTACTCATACAAATATAAAGTTGGTCCAACCGCTAGGGGGCACTTCTATCATTATATTAGATAATCAGTTGATTGATAATTTCAGGTTCCTATTTTCCAATTTTTCACATTATAATAAAAAATGAATAGACTGTTTAATAAATATAGCAAATTTGTAAATTATCCCAGAATAGTATAGAAGATGTCTTAAAAGTAACACAAAATACCTAACATGTTTGTTTTAGTTAACTCAGAGTATTCGAATGTACTCTGAAAATGTAGTCACTGAAGAAGAAATTAGAAATATTCTTCAGAAGAAATTTCCTCAGTCACAAGCAATTAAAGTTGAAGATGTATCAGGGGGTTGTGGTGCTATGTTTAATATCTATATTGAAAGTAATGATTTTAAAGGACTGTCAATACCTAAGCAACATCGGAGTGTGTACGACACTCTAAAGGAACAAATTAAAAATATACATGGTCTACACTTGGAAACGAAAATTCCTAGTTGAAATTAATTGTTATATTTGTTATTAATAAACTGTAACTTCGCCAGTGCATTTGTTTTGACATAACCTCACTTTTATTTTGACTCTCCTTTGCAGGTGTTTTTTCATTTTTTTAATGACAAGCGTAATTGGTTAAGAGACTTACCTTTTTGTAGCTGACATTGTTTGGGGTTATAACGATGAAAAGTCCTATTAAAATGGAACTCACAAATAACAGCTGTGGTTAATTTACAAACAGTTGAGAGTGGACGTGATATCTACTCCGTTGTGGATAAAGCAATTATTGTTTCTGATAGCAACAATTATCTGTAATCACATTTGTGTTACTATTTAGAAAAGAATTAACCATTTTGTTTAAGTTTTTTATTGAAAAAGGTAAATAAATTTATATAAACTAGTCTTAATGTAGAAACAAATTTGCATTAGGTGGGACCGTGGAGAGTGGTACAGACCTCGCCTTTACTTACTGTTTTATCACTAAATGCCGATTAAAAAAAATTATGAAACTGGATTTAATTACAAAAACAATTACAATTTAAACTACAATGGAAAACAGAATATTGAATTTTTTTGAATAATTACATTCCTGCAATCACTATTTACATTCTTAAAGTTCAGTCTTTTCCGCTTTAGGATTTCCCTTCCTGTCATATCCCTTAAGCTCAGATGAGGCATGTTTAGCGATATATTTGACGAAATCATCGACTTCACGTCCGCCCTGTAAACACATATTAAATTACACTCCCCAATTCAAAAATATTCCAGTTACCTCATAACGAACTGGGCTATCTTTCGAATCCTTAGCGGCCCAATACAGAGTAGGGAAACCGCGTACATCAAACGGTTGTGGAACATCATTAGCCGTTGCGTCCATTTTAACAATTGCCACATCCTCGTTTTTCATTTTTTCACCGAGTTCATCATAGACGGGCGCAAGTTTCTTACAATGACCACACCAAGGGGCGTAGAACTCAATCAGGGTGTCTTTGCCATTACTGAGCACAACTTCATCAAAGTTTTTGGCTACGGCGACTGTCACAGGTCCGTCGTTGTTCTCAGGAATAGGCTCGGTCTTCAAATAAGGCTCCAGTTTTCCGTCAAGAAGGTCCTTGACAAAGCTGTCCAAGGCCTCAATACTAAAAAATTAAATCAAATGAAAAAATTCTCACAAAATACAAAGAAAACAAAAAATATGACAATTTTAAAATTCAAGAAAAGAGTTTCTACAAACAAGGCTATTACAAATGCATCTTCACCTTAATTTGTTTACTTTTTTTCACGTAACAAATAACAATAAGTGATGCAAGTGAATGTATAAACACGCTTCTGACAATTTTGCTTACATAAATACGATACTATTAATGTCGATTTGGATTTTCTTATATCTTTTTTTGTTTTCAAACAATTTTTTAGTATTTACTGTGCCACTAGAAGAATTTATAACAATTTTATTGTTACAATTGCAACAAATCAACGAAAACATTCTGTCGTGCTATAGAAAAGTGAAATAAACAAGAAAAATTGTTAGTTTCGTACTTACGAGAAGGGATCTTTCATAATGAATTTTTGGTTTTTGGCGTCCCTGGCTAAGACAACTGGTTTATCCTCCTTGACGTAGTCAATACCATATTCGTTTAATTCATATTGGAAGTCATCTTTAGCGCTGACAGCAAAGTTGATCTTATCCTTGTACTGTTTCGCAACCTTCAAAACCCTGTTACGCCAGTAGTTTGTGCCTTTCGGATTTTTGACGTAATCAACACCATAATAAGCAACTACTAGAGGATTCTGGAAGTCATTTCTGTTATCAGATTTGCGATGACCAACTAAGCCATGGCTGAAACAATTACTATTAAAAAAAGCGTCCCAAAATCAGCAAAAATTTACTAGTTTTTGTTAATAAAATCTTGTATTTCACCAGTGACGGCACCTCCATTGTAGACAACACTGTTATCTTCGAACTTGTTGTGCAAGTGTTGGGGACGGAATAACACAATGCCATCACTGACTCCTTGTTTCTCCAAAACGGGCTTGTAGGTGGAATGTGCAAATCTAACTTTTTCTCTCAATTTGTCAGCGAGTTTAAGAAAAGCGGTCTTGAGATCTGATTCTTTTTCAAAGAAACCGACAACAGAGACATCATTTTCGGCTTTGAGAAACTTTTCGAGGTCTTCAACGCTGGTCAATTCCTTGGAACTGGGGCCCACTTGCGCCTTCATGTACTTGACAATACCCCCAGCTTCCCGGGGACCCCCATACTCCTGTGAGAATTCTCCATTGCGGAAGATCTTCAACGTGGGGTATCCACTGACACCGTGCTTATTGCAAGTTTCTTTTCCTGCCTCAGTACAATCTACTTTGACTAAAGCAATTGGAGGGTCGTTGCGGATTAAGTCCTCTGCAGCTTTCGCGTATTCAGGTTTCAGTTTTTTACAATGGCCACACCTTAACAATTTTTATTAGTTGAAAAGTTTGCAAAAAGGAAATATAATTACCAAGGGGCATAAAACATGACGAGGGCAGTTTCATGTTCGGCTAATCTACTCTCAAAATCGCTGTCACTGAACTCCAAAACATCCTCTTCTTTTGCAAAACACGTACAATACAAAAGACACAACACGAATAATTTATTCAAAAACATTTTTATTCTAAATATTATTTAATTATTTGCTAAAACCTATTTTTCGCCGGCACAACCTTCCGCACAATGCTGTCAATTACGTGGCTTTAAAACTGCGCATGTCCTTTATTTTAAGCGTTGTCGCATGCTGATTGGTTGACTAGATGTCACGTGGGAGTTTCAGCCAACCTAATTTTAATTCAAACAGTAATTGAATCACAATTTAGCAAAAAATTTATTAATTAACGTTTATAAAAAAAGATATTTACAATAAATACGGTACAATAATAAACCACAAATCTACTTAATATATGCTTGTTTCACTTTCAAAAATGATGTATCCTCACACGATTGATTGAGTAAACTTGAATCAACAGATGTTAAATCCTCTTCTAAAATTTTTGTTTCGATATTTGTTTCTTTTCGGAGTCGATTCTCATGCTTTGTAACTGTTGATTCTGGCACAAATTTCTGAAGATTGGATGGCAAAATTATATCGTTTTTGACACAAGTGACAACTTTGCGTGGTGGCCGATAAACATTGTCTGGTAAGTCAACGTTGTTTTCTTTATTATTTAAAACACTCTCATATTTCATATTTAACTGTGATATTGGTTTCACGGCCACGTTTCTTTTGGATGCAGAACAAGGACTATTTTTGATATAAACGCCAATGGGACTTATCACGCTGGTAAACGGCTTTGGTTGTGTTACCGGTATTCTAGAACAAGGAGTAGTTGTTTTGCTCTTGACAGGTTTCAGAGGCATTTTAAAGTTATCGTTGTCCTTTCTGATGTAATTTGCAACAGGACTTAGGATGTAATCAAATTTAGTAGGTTTTGAAGGCTTCTTTTTTGTAGTTGATAGAAGTTTTTGTGGTATTTTCTGAGCAGTGGAGGCTTCAGTACTTTGGGAAGAATCTCCTGGGAAAGCATAGTCAAGACCATGCTTCAGAGCCATTTCCATCTCTTCAAGTGTATCGTTAAATTCATGTGAATCATTTTTGCTATCCTCCGAACTTTTCAGACTTGGTATAGAATTTTGTGGCACAAAACGATAATCACTTGATTGATAGTGAACGCTTTCTTCAGTCTCATGAAAGAAATTTTTTTTATGATGTGAATCTTCGTAATCCGAATTCGATGAATACGCTTCTCCAGGCGATTTATCCAATGATGATTCACATTTTGCTTCCAGAGTCTTTTCGTCTAAATTCCATGATACCAATGATTCACTTAATAAGACACTTTGTTCTTCCTCAGGTTTTACTAAAACAGATTCTTCTGCAAGTACTCCAGTTACAGAATCATTAATACTGTCATCGCTGATTAAAATCACATCATTACTATCACTTTCTGTATAACTTTCTTCATCTGAGATTTCTTCAATTGTAGAATCAATTACTTGTTCAAGACACTTTGAATCTGGCGACAAAACAACTGAGTTTTCCACCAATGTCTGATGATAATCGTCTAAATTACACTGCTTTTCATTATTTCTTAAAATATCCTTAAGTGTATCAATTTTAGATGTATTATCTGTTGTGGTATCGTTGGAATTAAGACATTCATCACTGTTTTCACTGTCAATAACTTTATAAACCTTCTCTAAGAATGTTTCAATTTTATTCGTGCTTTGTTCAGGTGTAAAATATTCAGAATTTTCAGAATGGATGCTTTTTTGGTCACTTAGAGTTTGGTCTTCAAGAACACTTGACGAAGGTGGAAAATAAGTGCCCCTAAAATAAAGAAAATTAATGAAAATTGTGTTGCAAAAACAGTTTTATAATAATATTTAATAAGAACATAAGTTAATTCCCCCATATTTAAAAATGACATACAAACACAATTACTTACAAGTCTGTTTCTCTATGTTTAATCTTTCTGACTCCTTTTTCCAAATCCTTTCTAATCTCTTTCAAAACTAAAGGTCCCCATGCAATTTCTTCATCACTACTGTAATAAACATTTTCCATTTTGCAGACTTTATATGATATTTTTTGAATAAATCAACTTCTATAAAACCAACACTTATAACGAACTTTTAACCGACGAATTCAAATAATAGTCTGCTGATAGTTTGAAAAACAGCCTAAAGAGGACGCTCAAAACAAGAACGTAACAAATTTAAAGTCACCAAAAAATTTCAAAATAGTAAAATATTATTAATTTATTATATTTTAAGAAATTATTTATTATATTTTAAAAAAATTAATTGGACAGGTTTTTTCTACATTTGTTTTAACAAATATATAATAGCTACCGTAAAACATATCAAAAGAAAGAATCGTACAAGCAATTAAAAATGTTTAATTTTTTTTATCTGTATGTAAGATTTATATTTAAATTTTTTTAAATAATACCATATAAAAACAACACTTGTTTCTCATTAATAAATAAAAACAAATAGCTAATAAGTATTAACCTGACTGATTGTTTCCAAAAATCCAATTCAGACTTTAAGTACTTTTAAAGTTTAATATTTTGTAACACAACTTAGTAAAATAAGCTTGCATTTCTTGTAATTCTTGCACATGTTACATTACTTTAAATACATATCATACTATCTACTTTAAATAACTGATTACAGTTACCTCTACTCATCAGTTAAATTTAAAATAAAAGTACTTGTACTTTATTGTTTATTAATATTAATAATAATAATAAAATAATAAATGTCAAAAACTAATAAAGAAATAAATTTATTATACTTACTTTATTAATTTTAATATCTATTGTAAAGGTGAATATAAAGTATGGAACCAAGCGGTTTTATTTTTAATCATTTGCCTCCAGAAAATAATAATTAATATAAATTAAAGTAATATAAAAAATGTGATCGTATTTTGTTTTGTTTTTGAGTTATGCGAATTTTTTTTGTCAAAATTGCAATTTATGTAAAAAAAATTTTTTGAAAAAATTAAATATAAAACAGATAGTTGTAATCCTTAAAGTATAGCTTTTATGAGAAAACTGATTTTATTGTAGAACTCAAAAACAAAAAGAAATTTCGAAAAATTTTATTCTTGTTAAATCATCACATTTTTATAGTACTTTATTACTCATCAATTAGTTTTTTCAAAAAATAAATAGTTTAAGCAAAAAAAGTTTGGTTCCATACTTTTTATTCACCTGGTATAATACTTCTTGTTAATTTTGCAATTTGTAAATAAATCAATATGATATAAACACTTTATAGAAATATAAAATGTATTTCTATTTTTATGAATATAATATCGCTTTTCTAAAAATAACATGGTTGGCAAGCAACCAGTAATACAAGACTACGTGGAAAATTGCATGATTCTTACAATTGACGTCAGAAATTAATTTCTTATTATTAATGGAGACGTGCTTTTTCCAGATTATATTTAATTTTTTCAAAAAATGAAAAAAATTGTTTTGTACATAATATTAAAAAAACTATTTTTCTTTATTCCTTAAATAAATTTCCAAGTTTTTTGATAATGTGTAGTTTTAACAAGTTGTTACAATGTTGTGTATATTTTATGATGATAATAATAATGAAATAAATATTTTCTGTTTCATAAATGGTAGGTAGGGGGGGTGGCTCTCAAACTTTCGATTTCTTGTTGCTGGTAGACAAAATGGCGGATGGGCTTGTCCCCTTTAGGGATTGGTGGCGGTCAAGGATGAAACCGGTTTGGAAAAATGGTTTAAAATGGCGGGTTTTAGAAAAAAAATGCGTAGTACATTGGACGTCTTTTATTAAATGTTGTAATAAATTTGCAGTTGCTTTTTAAAATAACACTTCCGTCTTTACATAAATACATTAAAATAAATAAATAAGGAAAATCCAATGTTTTGTAATTTGTAAGAATTTTTCACATTTGAAAACAATGTCGACTAGAAAGCTGAATACACTAACTCATGTCCATACACCATCTTAACTTAGCAATATAAGCATTCACTGGTACCTTTGGCAAACAAGATATACTTACTCAAATTATGTATGTCATTGCTTATAAGTGATGAATCACGTATGATTAGAATGTTACAGATGTTACGGGGTTTACAACTCCTTTTCCATCTTGATGATTTCGGAGATGCCGTCGTACATTTCCTTGACAGCATCAAATTCAGTGAGACCCATACGTCTCTTATTGGAAATATCATAAACACCACCCTCAGCTTCGGTGTGTTCGCCGCGAGTTCCACGAACTTGCAAATTGAATTTGGCAGCGACTTCGTCTAACTTAGCCTTGTTGGCGGCCAATTTGGGAACTTTGATGTGAACAGAGGCACGAACAGTTGTACCAAGATTGGTCGGGCAGAAAGTGAGGAAACCGAATCTGTCACTATGCGAGAAGGGGAGACGCTTTTCGATATCGTTGACACCCGTCACCAATCTGCGGTAGACCTGGCCAAGATCTCCTCCCATCTGCATGGAAATGATCCTCAAGTGATCCTCTTCGTTGCACCAAACCAAGAAGGTCTTGGCGTCGTTGTGGAAAATGCCACGGCCGGTGGGCCAGAAGCGGCAAGCGTTGGCAGCTTGCAAGAAACGGTCACCTTCCTTGAACAAGAAGTGGTCATCGATCAACTTCTGCTGGACCTCTTTGCTCATGCCAGTGAGAGGGTAGAAAGTACCCTTGAGTTCACCCTCGAGACCAGACAACGTCGAAGACACTTTCTGTTCCATCTCTTTGTATTGTTCTTCGGTCAAGCAAGGGTTGAAGGGGTAGCCCTCCAAAGAACGGCCGCAGCGGACACGAGTAGACACCACGAATTCGCCAGCAGGGTCCAAGTTGCCAAAGGCGTTTACATCACCCCAGTCCTTGGGGGGGTGCTTGTCACTCTTCTTGAAACCGCCATGGTAATCTTCAATGATGGGGTCGAACAAATCAGCGAAAACGGAATAAGCGTCAGCGTCAGGAGCATAAATACCAATACCAGAATCGTGGTTTTCCAAACCTGGGAAATTTCATAATAGAAAAAAAATATTACAAAATTTGAGAACCTACCAGACTGGATAACGTCAAGAAGAGTGGAACCAAAGGAAGTTTTCTTGGTCTTCAACTTGTCGAACAATTCCCTGCTTAAGTATTTCTTCAAAAGAGACTTGGAGTCAGAAGCTTCCAGTTTCTTGAAACCGGCTTCCAGTTTTTCCAAAACTGCTGCGTCAACCATGGTGGATTTTCTACAAAATGTCACCATTAGTAAAAAATCTAACAAATCATTTCAATAGAAAATTAATAATGAAGTGATTGTTATTGATTGGAAGTTGATGAATGATCTAGAATGAAGTTAAGTGCAGGGAATTTATAGTTGCGTACTTGATGTATCGAGTTGACACGGAACAAGACAAGACACAAAGCTTCCATAGAAATCCAGAGGCACCGGTTGGTGCTATTGACCCATGCATGACATCAACAGGATACGAATAGTACAAACCCCGATTCATCCTCTTTCGGTTTTTTAGTATTTTCCTTAGATGCGCAACCTCCCATTTTTTTCAATCTAGCTAAATGAATATACACTCTAATGACACTACAACTAAATGGATGGACCAACTATACGGCATGGGGTTTGGGACGACGCCCTTTTCAATAAGGCGTTTAAGCGTCTTCAGGTCGTCGTATAGCCACCGTGCGCTTCCCGCTCTGAGCTCTGACTGAACTTTGAGCGTTGAATAGACGGGGCGCAGTTTTAACAGATCGATAAACGCATATCTATGCGTACAGACGACCAATCCAATTGCGTGTCTCTAATAATTGTCCCCAGACTTGACCACCCGTAAGATACCTACCCCTATCTAACATAAAAATCGACTCTTCGAGACAACACTCGGATAAATATCAACAATCAACTCGCTAAACCGGCGCATCCACCATTTCTAAACGCGCCAACACAAAATTCGAACCACAACACTGACATTAATACTCATCAACTTCACAAAAACCAAAACGTCCGAGTATATGTGCCATAAAAAATAATCTACATGCTACTCAGCCAATTTTAAACAAGACTTTACCAATAATTTACTTACCCATTCGAGGGCAAAAAAATAAATTGTAAATTCAATACAAATCAATTCAATTTAATTAAAACTTTCAAGAAACTAAATAAAAAAAAGGATAAAGCATGAGATTAGCCAGAAGCCCCATTTTCCGTTATTCAAAATCAATAACTGTGTATTTTGTGTTGCATAACGTGGGTAAACTAAATCGTTTTCTTTAATTAATTTTAGTTAAAGCCGAACAAAACGTTGTTATACTATTAGATATTACATTTCTAAAGCTACAATAAAAAAAAATTATAATTTTTTTTTATTTACAAGATCTAGGGCTAATTTCGAATAGAAATGAGAGACAAAACTGCTGAAGCAGTTTAGGCAGACGTGAGTCACTAATTAAACTCAAGTAGTTAAGTAGTTTTATTAAATAATTGACAAAACGGTCGGAGTAGCGCGTCCGGTAGAAAACTAGATTAGAGTCACAAAACGCCCAAATGTTATGTAACACCAAAAAAGCGGCTAGACGTTTAAACGTTAAACTTTTGATAATAAGAAAAGCTTTAGACTAAATCAATTTAAAGTTAAGTGCGGTTTCTATGAAAAAAAAATGTTAAATTTTATGATAAAAGCAGGAATTGTGTGTATGTACGAATATTGTATTAGTAAATTAAATTAAGGGCTCACCTCTAAATTCGAAAGTCTGGCTTGAAACACACTCTCTGAAGAATGAACCGACTATGAGTTTATGAGTAGGAACCCGTTGTAGAAGAGGTCTTGGTGTCAACCCCACCACCCCAATGACGTCAGGTTTACAGAATTACATTGAACCAATCGTTGGCTTTAACGTATTCTTGCCCGACCTACCACTTTAAGTTTTCGATAGTGAACTTGAAAATTTGATTTTTTTAAGGAATTAAATGATAAAAATCTATTCACAGACTCCCCTCTCTTGGGATGGAGGGGATTATCCGGTGATTTTTGTGTTATTTTCATCAAGCGAATTGTAATTTTCAAGGTTCGAGAGGCAATTAATCGGTCCAATCGTGATAACAAATAGCAAAAATCATTTTTCTGCTCGTATTGATCAGGTGCAAACTCCAGGTGAACTACACCAAAGGTTTAGCTTGCATGTTTCAAGCGAAAATTCGATCAAAATATCCCTGAGTTTTGATAGAATTCAATTTATTTAAATTTATTGTCCTGGTGCAGAATTAGAACTAATCATGCATAGAACCGATTTTTTCAAATCGATTGGGTTTGGTGGATTGTTGGAAAAATGTTATGTAACGACCGGTAAACAAGCGATTCTATTATTTTTAGAACTTTTATTTTTAAACCCATCAACGAAATAAATTAAAAACGGACAGAGAAAATTTACTATTAGTTACATAATAATATTTTCTTCATTGAAATGAAAACACTGAAATTACAAGCCAGCTGGCATAACTTCCGAACGAATTTTTAGTTCAGTTACTATGGATTAAGGAAAATCGCAAATGATTCATTCGCGATAAAATTTTGTTATAAAATTGAATGCAATAAAACGTCTAGAACAGTTTATCAATTATGAGTCTATTGTTGGCCTTTATTAAAAACAATTTCAATTGTTCCGATTAAGTTGGAGTCATCTCTCTATTTCTCGCCTTCGAATCGACAACAATTTCATTAAGAAACGTTCTCACAGCATTCAATTTACAGAAACATAAACGTTTTAAACCCACATTTATTTTGCATGTGATTGACAAAAAGCAGTTTAGCCGTGTTTATGTTAATATTTAACGACGGACGTCTGGATTACGTAATAAATCGGTTCGACGCCTCACTTTTTCAAGGATTCTGATATTCAGACCTGAATATGGGTTAGACAGGGGTGGCTCTAGAGATCAGCTGTTCATCCCCACGTTTATCGATTTTTGTGCTCGTTCACCGTCCTTGTCCTTTCCTAAATACTTTATGTCCCTTTGTAAATTTGTTTCATAACTAAACTGGTATTTCGTGACATTGTTATCCCAATCAATATAGGCACACAATCCAGCACAATGAAAAGTTTTCTATACCTACAGCTGGGACAATTTTACTTATCTCTCGATTCCTGGGATGGACTGTTTACGTATTTACCAATGTTTAACACTCACGTAAATGTAAATGATGTTTAAAACTACATCATAAAAGTGATTACACACTAATCAATTACTTCAAAATACATAAAATATTAGAAAAGTCTAGAAAATTCATAAAACAGGTATAACCCAGATTTCAATTGCCTTGTTAAAAAGATAAAAGCAATTTTAAGATTGTTTCATTTTGATATAGTCTGCAAAATTTAATATCTATTAGCCAAACTCTTACTGCACTTAGATTTTCACTGATGTTTTATACATATAAAACATAACATACATTTCGTGGTGATTAAAAAAACAAACCATTTTTATATCTTGTACTATATGTTATTCATTATATTGCTTCATAACACATTTTAGCAATTTACTATATTTAATCTTTATATGTAACTTCAGTGAAATTTTGATAGAATGAGCAAATCCTAGGTATCCTTTTTTTGTTGATTTTGTGTTTGAAACCGGTAGAATAGATATTTTTAATATGCTGTGTTCAGTCCTGTACGTAAATCTTTCTCCTACAAAATTCACTTAAACAACATACACTTTTTCCTTTTTTTGTTGTTAGTGTAATTTTTTGTTTGTTCAATTTTTGGTTTTGTATTTATTGAAAATAACTTAATACAACTCTACTCGAAAAGACTGCATAAGTGATAAATAAAAAATAAATATCGACTAAATACAACTGAAACTAAATGAAATCTGTGTTGGTTGAAATCCTGAAGAAAGCCCCTCTCCGAAAACCCTTGAAAGTGGTTCGCTTCGTTGCGCACCCAAATAAAAAACTTTTTCTTTCGGTAATAATTTATTAGTATAATAATTTTTTAGTAGTGATCATGAAACAAGTGTTAGTTATTTTACTTTTTTAGTAGCTGTTCGTTGTACCTTTGAGGCCCAAAATCGCGCTGCTGTTGGTTTTTCTCAACGTTTATAAAATCGTTAACGTTTTTAGCAGCCGGTTTCGGAGGTGGGACCGAATCAACAACCGAATCTTCATCTTCCTCGTCGCTTTCTTCATCTTCATATTCAATATCCTCGAAAGCTTCAGTTCGTAGAGGATGTGGTGAAGGAGATCGCGGAGGCTTTGCAGGAGGGTCCAATTTGGGAGGTAACGAAGCCTTCGGCGGCGATGGGGGTGGTATTGGCTTGGGGACCGATTGTGGTGGCTTCGGCGGTTCTGCTCGCGGCGGTTTCGGCGGCTCGACCGGCGGCGGAGGGGGCGGAGGAGTCGGTTGACTCGGCTTTGTTTTAGGGCACGAGGGGGAGAGCTTTTGTGACACTTTGTCCAGGATTACTTCTCTTAAAATAAAAAAAACAACCAAATAAAAAAAAACAAAATATAGTACAAGTAAAAATAAAAACAAAAATTAATGTTTAAAGAAAAACCTCAAATGATGCCAAAAAATTATTAAAAAAATATATTTTAAAAAACTCAGACAAAAGTTGTGCATTTAGTTTTCTATTACTAACAAAAACAGAAAAATATATGCAAGTTTACATTTTCAAACTTGGAAATTGTCTTTCGATTCATAAAAGAATTTTGAGACTTGTCTGAAAGATCTACAGAAGAAGAAAAGTAAGCAAATAATGAAAACAAAAAAAACTTTAAAAAAAATCGAAATTTCAACCTAATTGTGTAACAAAATTTGGCAAAGTGGTGTTCTGGCAGCTTATTCTGATGCCCTTGACCAACCTTGCATAAGCAAATGAAACTGTTTAGCTAAAAATCCAAATTTACGTAATTGAATAATTGGATTTTTTTACGTTTTGTTTGAATTTGTTTGACTTTAGGTGAGGTTAACGTCTTTCATTTTTGAAAATTTGGAGTGCATTACTTGTTTATAGAATGTTTAAATATAGAAAAAGCCTCCGAACAGCTGTTTGACATGTATAATTTACTAAAGGCGGGAGTAGAAAGAAAATAAACGTTGCCTGGGAAAACTAAAATAGTTTTGTGATGGAGATACAAACGATAAACTGTTTAATACCTGTATTTTGTAAAGGTTTAGTTTAATAATTACTTGTATTGACTTTAAGAGTTAACAAGCGTCTGAGTTAAGCGCGCAATATTTATTCAACGTTATTTAATTTTCTTATATTAACCGCTGATGACATTGACTGGTGTCCATTGGTTCGTTTTCTCATGCAGATTCATAAAACGAAAGAACAATATTGCAATTTATTGACTAGTGTTGATTAATCTTAACTGTGGAAAAAAACATTTAAAAAAACACTTCAAAATGCAATAAATAATCTATGTGCAGATAAGCACGTAGTCCACAATTCAATTATTGCCAATATTAAGATATTAAAATTTGTGTTTGTAATTTGTTACCTCTCGATAACTATAGATATATAATCTTCCAGTTTACTCATCTATTAGCTAACTGCATCCTTAGCCGATTTTGCTTTCCCGCAAAATTAATATTTAAACAAGCGATAATTTAATTGGGCCATTTAACTTTTGTTCCATTTAGTCTCGACACAATCAATTAAATCTTACGACAATTTTCAGACCCATTTCTATTAATTGCGTAAATGGCACTCTTGCCAGAATTAATTTTTATGTTTCACGCTAAGATATTTAAATATTGTGTCTTGTTAATTATTGCTTTTGTTCCTACTACAATAACCTCATGCTTATGCGACCATAAAAATGAAATTTATGCTTCATTAGCGTGATGATTTTTTTCACTAATCTTGAAACAACTCTTTCATTGTTGAAAATGCAGTTGCAAGTGTTAAGGACGCGTTTTTGCAAAATTATAAAACCTTGAAGAAATCTATTCGTTATGCCTATTTATGCAATCGTTCAGTAAAAATCAAAATAAATAAGAATGAAAGAAAATAGAGAACATTTATTATTTTTTTATTATAGACAAAAGTATATCAACGCAGAAAACTTAGGAAAATTCTTTTAAATAATAACAAATAAGAAAAATCAAAATTATAATATTTGTTAATAATATGTCCTCAAAAAATTTCTAGAAAAAGATTATTTTTTCTTACATAATCATTTTATTTCATTTATCAAAATTTAAAAAGTTGTTATCACAGTGTATCTTTCATAAAACATACAATTTCACTTATTACACATCATTTTCCCAATAAAAATCTATATTCCTAATTGACACACATTTCCGGTGCAAATTTTGTTCAGATTTTAGAATAATAGCGAAATTAGTTTTAAACAGGTGAATTTAAGTATTCTGCTCAAGTCATAGTTACAAAAATAAAATTTTATTAATAGCTTCAGGAAAACAAAAGCCAACTAAACAATACTGTCATTTCTTTTGTAAAAATGTTTTTGAGCGTAATAAAATATTTTTCCAATTTTTTAGATATAAATAAAAATTTGCTTAGATTAATATTAGAGATTTGAAAGGATTTATTTTGCTTTAATTATATTGGCACAGTAATAAATTTGACGTTTTGTTTTAGTTTTTGGAACAACATCAATGACAGATAATTCGAATCATCAGAAAACAAATTTTTCCATTGAAGCTGAATTAAAATTAGTATCAATTAGGAGTAGTTGGCCTACGCTATTGAAAAAAATATTTCTATTATTCCTTTAGAAATATGTATGTTAAAACATATTTTTTTTTAAATATCAACAATAAAAAATAAGTCAAAATTTAATCAAAATTTCTGTCGTTCGGCGTTTCTAATAATAAGCCACACGTTTGACGCAAATTTTGATCAGCTGATTTAGAAGTATCGAATGAGATAAAATCACACGGCTTAACTATCTAAATGGTCTTACACACTTCATTATTGTTTTACATTTAAAATAGGTACTAAAGTAGTCTTAATTGCATTGAAATAAACTTTGCTACTGATAATCTACACGTTCTACGAAAAATTGTTAAGCTGCAAAGTCAGTGTGGTATGGTAGTATTTCCTTTTATCTATATCCAAATAATCTAAGAAATTTAATATGCAGACGAATACCTAATATTCATTTCATCACAATCGCAAATACATTTTAGTAATTTTGTTGTTTACAATATTGCATATTAAGTATCAAAATGTATTTTAATAAATTACAAGAAAATCTACACTAAAATAAATTTGCCATAATTCCACAAAGAGTTGATGACCTATCAAAAACTTGATAATTTTGATAAATCCAGGTGACAACAGTCAAGTTCCATAATCTACAGATTAATTCAGATATTTATCAATCTCAAATGATATATTATGTATGTATAATTTTAATCTGACGCACATTTGGTTTCCAATATCCGGTCAATTGAGATATTTTAGTATTTTCATGACCTTGGATTTCAGGTTGAGCAAAAGCTTCAAATATTTTTAGCTGAGAAAATTGCTTTAAATTTTCACTACCAATTCTCTATTTGTTATAGCAAAAAGATGACAAATACATGTTATAGTAATAAAACTTTCCGTATGGGAAGTTACGCAATAATAATCGGACTTGTTGACTTGGCTCAAAACGTATTTTTCCACATTTTGAACGTTTCAAGAATGTGACAGTCTTAATGCCCTTGCTTGTTTTTATTTTTAGTGAATTTACAAGTTGGTTAAAATACTTAAAATAAGCACAAAGGAATAAAATGTTTTTATTAAAATTCCGTATAGTTAACTTTTATGCCAACATTAAAATATTTTATAGCACTTTTAATAATAAATCTTGAGATTCACACATTTCTAACCGCTACAGTTTTCTACGTAATTTTTAAGTATCATGTCCAAAGGAAATGAAAAGCTTGATAGGCCGATAACGGGGCAGCTTTCCAAATAGTGAAAAAATATTTTTGTGGTCCAGGGTAGGGGACAAGTAAATTCGGACTGCTTCAACATGAAATATCAGTCAGTGGTGTTTATTCCTCATTAATTTAGTGAACCATTATTTAAATAAATAATAATAAATTTTATTGTGATTTTCTTATACGTGGTGTCTGTATTGTAATGTTATCAAGTTGGTCCCCTACATATTTACTGTTGCGCCCACAGCTACTTGAAACAATTAATTTCAATAAAATTTCATTGTAAAGAATCCTGACGTGGTCTGTGTTGAAGAAGCAAATTTAAGCCTCTAGTGTTTTTTTATCGGAATGAATTGTTATGTGGTAGAATTTGTCCACTTTCATCTCTTATAATTAATGATAGTCGTGTCTATAAATATAAAACTAAAACCGTCATAGACTGCAAAGAGTGAAATCGTGAGTCTAAGCGGAGACTTGGCTAAAATTACACCTAGTTAGAGATAAATACGTAAGGAATGTGGAGCTAAGAAGATTTTATTTGTTCTTGATAGTATTCCAGAATACATTTTGTTGCTACGAAAGCGGTTGCATATAAAAATATCCCAGCGACCGTGGCCCTGGAATATTGGGATATTTTCAGAAAAACACGTGGTGTACCTCTCCGGCAGCCAGACTTTATAATAAGGCCCACTTTACAATTAATCATAATTCATCTTTTAACAATATTATAAAAAACCGACAAATTTAATAGCACTTGCGATTTTATTTTTATGATCGTTATTCTGCCATCTATACGCGCCTAGTTGAAGCAAATTCCTGAAAATCGGTCTGTTGCCATAAATAAAATTGGGTTTGGTCCAATTGAGTGAAGTTGGAATGATAGACCCAAAATGCCGGTAGGTACAACTTTAATAAACTGTTTTAAAAATCATGCATTCAAACATACCTGTATTCCTTCCATGACAATACGGAGTACCAAAGGGTGAACATTTTCGGGGCAGTTCGCTTGTTGTATTTGTTGTAAAAAATTAGCACGTGAAACAGTCACGGCTTGCTTGGATACTTCGTCTTAACTGGCTTATTTTTCGGTTTCTGTGCTGCTCTAAATTTTACTTTTTTTCTGAAATAATCGAAGGAAATCAAATTAATGTCGGTGCTTAAATCGGGAGTAGATACCTCAAAAAAAAAGTTTTTTAAACACACTTCTACATTTAATTTTGGATAAAAAAAGGAATTCAATCAATAGCTTTAATCAAGCCTGAAATTTATTTTACTGGGCAAATTACATTAGGTGGTTTATTAATTTAAGATTTATAATTAATTATGTTTCATATTCTTATTTAAAAAGAAAATAAACAAATATATAAAGCTATATGTTTATTATAAACATTTCACAGTGGCACCTACGTGGAGCAACTATCTAATAAATGTAGATACTTACTGTAGCGTTTTTCTAGCCGAAATTGTCACTAAATGACTTTAAAACACTAGTTTTAATCGAAAATATTTAATTTGATTTATTTTATTTCTATTATTAAGGTTTTTGATGAAAGTATGTCAGTGGGCACAACGCAAGTTACCCTTCCTTAGTCCTTTTCAGTTATTGGCTGCGACGATCTTTCAGGAAAGCTTTCAGCGCGTAATTTGAATTATATGCAACACGTCAAGCAGTGGTTCAAAAGGAGTTATCTACATCGGTTCGGGTCAACATTTTAGAGTTAGCGAAATTGTTAGTTTTTTTTAAAAATAGGAAGATATTGTTACAAAATGTTTTTTTTAATCTTAAGTTGAAAGTTTCATTTGTTATAAAATCATATCTTTAACAAATAGCTTATTAAATGTTGCCATAATTACAAAATTTTATTTATTTAAAAAATCAATAGAAAAAAATTATATATTTTTTCTTTTTCTATTTCTTTTTTCGCTAATATTGACAAAACCAACCGGTCAGTGTCTAAATAATCTTTATTTTTTAGTCACTGTAACTTATTTTTAATTCGAGCGGTTTACCGGGTATAGGTTTTTATTTCTAATTTTAAGTCAGTTACTAAGTATGTATTCTATAAAGCTCTATTGTTACTTATACTTTTCACTGGTAAGAAAAATACGTAGTTTAGGATTGGTTCATGAATGGTTAAAAAAAACACGTTTGAAGTATATTCATTTTTTACTAACCATGTTTAGTGACACTTCCAATTAGGTGTGTTATAAAACTATATTTTAATAAATTTCCATTACATTTTGGGATGAAAATATATTATTGCACATGAAATCTTTACAAATACTTCTGATTGTGTCTTAATGTTTATTAGTTTTACCAATTTATATATTTAACTTTACACTACATCTTATAGTTAACATGCGAGATTTATGTAGAAGGAAGTATAAAAACAACAAACACGAAATTTATAAACATATATACAAAACTAAAATGCATTTGTACTTTTCTAAAATTAAGAGCATAAATAATAATAATAAGTTCATAACAAATATATTAAAAAATCACAATTAATTTCCAAGACTTTTAGAAAAATATATGAAACTAAAAGTTTATTGAGAGCCTACTGATATGCATCACAGATTCTAAAATACTTAAGTCATTTTATTTACAAAACTTAAAAGGGATTGTTACAACTTTGTATGTTTGACAGTATCTGTCCAATAGTTCTGAATGGTCATAGCCTCTAAACTATTAAGAAATGAATCGTTGTCCAAGCTGTACATTTCTTCTGAATTATCCTGTAATCAGAAATGAACAATTTCCTTTAATAAAAATATACTTAAAACACCTGAATGGTCACAAAACAAAAAATAAGAAGCATTAAAAATAACAAAAGTGAGTAAAACAAGACAAACGTGTGCAACAAAAAGAAAAATAGTAATTGCTTACTCTTACTGAAGCATCATCAATGTATCCACTTGAATCCGGATTGCTGCAACGATCGTTAAGTACTTGAGGTCTGTTGAATCCTCTATTGCGATAGAGAAAGTAGCTAACCCCGCAAATAATGCCAACAATAACAACACAACCCAGAGTAATCCCTGTTATCCCAGCTGCTGATAAGTTTCCAGTGACATCCTCATCCTTTTCTGTTATTTTCTCTGAGGTTAGCAGAAGACTTTGGTTATAATTTGTATCATTACTATAATTGAAATTATCAGTATGATTTATTGCGCTAAAACTTGAATTAATTAGCATTTGGTTATCAGTAATATTTAAACTGATGTCAGTTATATTCTGATTTATCACAGTCGTTTCTTTGCTTGGAAAATAAAATTTATTTGTTGTGTTCTGCTTAGTCATGTTGGAATACATAAAATCAAACTTGTTTAAGGAAGGCTTCTGGTTTTTTGATGTTGAAATGTTCTGCATTGAAGAATTGGAAGGATTATTGTTGATGGGCGGATTTAAACTAGAAATTCCAATCGCCTTGCCAGTGCGTTGAACTAAATCAGTACTTGGATTTGTGACTGGGGTGATGGAATGTGTTAAAGTAATTTCCTCAGATACACCAACTGCAATTACAAATAATGACGTCACTTACACTTAAGCAACTAATTAATTTATTATGATGAGCTAATCAGATGATTCATGCAGACAAACCATGAAATATTTTCAGCACTTACCAAATATTCTAAAGGTGATCCAAAACCAATGCATCCACCAATACGACAATGTCATGACTTGATCCGCATTAGAAACTGAAAATTGCACAATTAAACCAATTATCCTTAACAATACAAATTGTTTTGTAATCATTAAAAAAGAAATTTTCTAATTGCCTAAATACCATCACTATCTCACTAAAATACACAAAAACCACAAAGTCAATAAAACATTTATTTAATAAAAAGATTTAAGAAAACATACCTGTTATTCAATACACCTGCCAAACATTTGATAAAGAAATTTTGATAATAAAACTTCTCGTCGTTGTTGTGGTTCTCTACCTTTCGTCATTGATCACTCCTGCCAACAAATAATAATAAAAATCCCCGTTTGACATTTGCGGAAATCCGAATCCCACCAAACGACTCGCCACAAGCACATCGTAAAACAAAAAAAAATCTTCTAATCAAATTTAAAATGGAGCAAACACGACTTCCTGTTATATTCTTTCTGCAAAGACACTAACAATTATCGTCTAAACTTGTCGCGTTCCCATTACTTAGAATTGCCATTGGTTATAACAATTGTTGGAGAAATGTCCTCATTAAAAGTAAAGAAAGCGAATTTTAATAACCAGCTTAGTCTTCGGGGCCAGTTTGAGGTCAACCGCGCGCCTTGGTCGTATTTCAATTGAAACTAACCATGGTTCTTGCAAATGAATTTTCGTATTTCGGCCTTTTCGCGGTTGTGTACGCCACTGATTAGAGTCCAATGACGTGTGTCATCCGATGTTGATGTTGACGGTGGCATGGCTGTGGGGTTCCTCAGTATAACCTGTAGACGTTATGATATAAAACAGAAAACTACAGGTGAGTGGTGTGCGATTTTGCTAGATAAAACTGTGTTTGTATACGTAGAAAGATTAGAATCGTACTTTGTTTCGCGCAATTTTTCTGATTAGTTTTAGGCTAAACGAAAGGCGAATTTTAGAAATTGTCGTCAAGGCTAATTCTAATTGTGTAACGTGTCCTGCATGGACAGGTATGTTTTCCCCAAATCTAAAAATAAAGGAAATTAACTCCAGGTTATTCTCGATGTAATGTCAGTTTTCCGTATTTTGAGACTAACCAAATGGGTTATATTAACTAATGAACCCCATAACCCATCATTGCGAATCTCGTTTAGTTTCTCCAAGACAATGATCCAGACTTGCTTGCCATAAACCCAAATTCTAATTGCTTACACATTGCGACCTTTATTTTAATTGATTTTTCTTGTCACCTAACAATTAATTTGATTAACTACACTAGTCATATCCTGAGACCGGCAATTTATTTTCATTAAACTAATGTCGAATCAACAAACAACTCTTTTTTACGTTGTTTACATTTGTCTTCCAATCAAATTATGACTGTCATTCCTTCCGCCAGTACAGTCACGACAGTTACCAAGTCAAAAAAAAACTACATTTGCCAGACATTTACTCTAAAACATGGTTAACAATACAGTAAATATGAGGAAGTTAGGCATTTCAAATAGCTATTGAGTTATTGAGCGAGTGAATCGTTTGCAAGTGAAGATAACTTTCACCTGTTCAGATCAAAGCGGCTCCGAGTACTTGTACTTGTTTGCCTAAACATGTATGTATGTAAAAATTAAGGCAGTATGTATATGGTTTGAGGTCATGAGTGTAGTAAATTTGCAATAAAGTTTCTGTTTGTTATTTAAATTTACCCTTTGGTGATTGGAAAATTTTAAACTATTATTTCCAAATGTTTACATTTTATAGCCATTATAAGATGTTTCAACAATAATGCAACGATACTTAGATCTACACTAGCTGTTAGGTTAATAATATTGTATCATAAGTTAATTATTAGAAGACGGTTTTGTCACAATTGTCCCATTTCTTGTAGAAGATAAGCCTAATGTATTTTTTCTGTAAACCAGTCAGAAATAAGGTCTTCATCTATAAGAAATAATCTTAACACTGAGATTTATGACAGAAAATTGAAGGTAGGAAAGGCAAAGATAAAACATTCACTTCACCTGAAGTTACTCTAAAATTGCCATGAGAGATAAAGATGTTTTGCAAGAAAAGACGAAGAAACAAACATTCGAAATTGTTGTCATCAATCAAACGCAATTACAATTTCTTAGTATTTTGTAATTTTTGGAAATGTTTATTTGCGATTTGTGATAAAATGATGTGATCATAAAATAACGATTTTTTCTGTTTCAAGCATTTTGCGTAACTGAAAACAGGTGCACTGTTTTTGTCAACATTTTATACCATCACTGACTGCATACTGTCGTTTTTAAGTGAGAAATTGTTGTAGATCAATATATTTCATTGAAACCAATGCAATTTGAGCTATTTTCTAATTACGTCAAATGTCATCAACTTTAACGGTTAAATATAAATTCATTCATTCTCATTGTGTGATACTCGTGCATTGTAACACAGTGAGAGTGTTTGTTATATTTATTTTTTAATATAGACTGTTTCCCCGGATTGAGTTTACAAGAAGTAAAAGATTTTTATCTTTTATTTTACGCCAAAACTGCAAAGGAAAAACATTTTTTGCTTCACTTGAAACGAGCAAATCTGTAATAAAAAACTTCATTATTCTATCTGAGTGGAAAGAAAAGTTAATTTTTTTCTTAATTTTGGACTTAATTATTTTTCTCTGCGTTTTAAATCCCATCACATTGGCGGTTTTACTTTTTTAATAATGATGTCACTTTGACAAATGATTGGACGCAAGTTATCTAACAAAAATGTTTGTGAAAAACATAATTTTAATAAATGGCAACTCAAAAAACAGCTTTAAAAATGACAAAGTAATTTTTAACAAGAACAATCATTAGTCAATTAATTAATTAATTGTCAAAGTGACATCGTTGTTAAAAAATTAAAACCGCCAATGTGATGAGACTTAAAAAGCAGAGAAAAATTATTCTAAGTACAACATCAAAACAAACTAATTTTCTGTTAAAACTAATAAATTAAATCAGCGGTAAAGTAATTGTATAAATCAATTGAAAACTGAGAGGTTTATTTTGAAACTTAAAACAATAAAACTAGTTTTGCTTGTTAATGTTAGTTTTAGATACTTATTCTAAAGACTAATTTGGGAGATTTCGGATTTTAACTAAAACTAAAGTGATGAGGTCGTAGGACTTTCATGTACCATTTTGCCTTAGTTAGATAATGTCTTGCAGTTTTTAGTAATCTCAGCATTCAAATTAATTATAACTCTAAAAACCAAGTTAAATTTAACAAAACAAAAAAAAAATGGAAATAAATGTGAAGATAACAGAGTAAATTGTAAATTTTATTTGAGAAAAAATTAAAATACCAATTATAAAATGCTAAGGAGCAATATCACAATTAATTCTTTTATTTACAATTCCCTATGTTACTTAAATGTCAAAATAATGGATGATATTCATAAAATAAAACGTTATGGTTAATGGCTATAATGCCCAAAACAAAACAAAAATATTAAGTGAATAAAATATGAAAATTATAAACAAGGCGACAAGATTTAAAAATATTCTTGAGGTAAAATCATTCAGGAAAAACCGGATTAAATTGGACCTTTTCAAAAACAGTGGTTAACTATTTCTTGGTATTTTGTAACCGCGAACGTGTCCATATCCTCGTGCTGGTGGGACAAACCCGCCATCCCGCGGACATTTTTCTTCGAAGTACCCACTTTATTTGTGCGTGACGTTTGCGTTTGCATAAAGCATATAACGAATAGTAATCGCTGTGTGAAACGCAGGGAAATTATTTCAAGAATTTGAGAAACGATTTTTCTAAATTTAGTGATTATCGAGCATTAATTTATTATTCATTATCAAAATTATTTTAGAAACCGGCTGTATATGTAGGAGTGGAACAAACCAGCATCGTATTACTAAATTCAAGGATAATTCTTTTATCTTGTATTTATGATTAGTAATTTGTAGAAAATTAATTACGTATACTATTGTTGGGTGCCTTGAAAGCTTACGAATAAATACATTAGGAAGGTCATTGTGTCATAAAACAAAATTTTGTTAAGAACTCGGAATGATATTATTATTTATTAAAAAATACAATACCTACTTATTTCACCGAATTTGGATTAAAGATAACACTTCGTTTTATGTATATAAGTTTTGTGTGCAAATTCTTAATAAATTATTTTGTATGTTCCAGTTTTGACACCGTCATGTCGTCTGATGTGTTACATCAACATCCACTCGCCTACAAAACAACAATAATTTTTTACAAATAATTGGTAAGTATTTTATCGGTGGTGTTAGATTACGTATTATCAGGAGAAAATAGATTTAACGGATGTATATACGTAGGACCGTTCTAAGGTTTTTTTGTTTTGTGTAAACTTTCTTCAAGACTCCTGAAGGTATTAGGCGATTATGTTGTATCCATGTGAGTAATTTTTTAGTTTCTATGAAAAATGTGTATTTTGTACTATTTATAGTATAAATCTTGGAAAGTTTTTAAGATAAGTAATAATAACAGGTAACTTTTTTTCAAAATTAAAAGTTGTTTCAATAATGATTTTTTAATGGTTTTTATTCTTCAAAGAGAACTAAATGAAATAAACTTGGCAATTGATGTTTTTTTAAATCTTTTTAATGGCTTATTCATATTTATCAATCTTTAATTGACATTTTTAAATGTAGTTTCATTGTCGTCAATTAATTTTTTGATGGTATAATAGCACTAATTAATCTTTAGATCGTGGAAAATACTTATGTGAATATTCATACATCAAGTGAATAGGTATGAAAATTAGTTGTTCACTCGTTACTGCTATTATCACAAATTAGTTTTTTTCATTTTGCGGTATCAACAACTGTATTATTTTAATGATGCAGGTCCGACCTTCATTATAAAAACCAACAAATAAGTGAATCATTTCTTTTGCGTGTTGTTATAAGGTATTGAAACAGATATTCACTTATTTTTTATTTTTATTTAATTTCTTAACGAACGTCAATGTAATACATAACTTTTGTGATATTTTTGCCCAAGTTTAAAATTATTTCCAACCATGTGACCAGTTCATGTGGTGGATAATATAGATTCGCAGCTACCAACGTTTTCAATACGTTTTTCAAACCATAAATTAGATAAGTCAAAAGTATGTGCGTCAATTTTTTAGACTTAATCTTTTTATTGTTTAATAGTTTATATGAAACATAATTAGATTTTCCGGGTTTTGGAAATTTGTTTAATCTCTTCTTAACAAATTTATATTCTTTATTGTAATGTACCTATTACAAAGTCAAAGTTTTGTGATCAACATTTTTAATTATCTTAAAAAATCGCAGTCTTAGTTTTATTGCTGATATCTCTTGATTGATTTATCAACTGTAAAATATTGTGATAAAATTAAGCACAAATTACAATGGAAAGCCAACTCTTGATAAAGAATAATATTTATTGCAAACTATTTTAATAAGGTTCATATAACACTAAACACAGATTAGATATACAGGTGTGCCGGAACTCGCGCCCCAGAGAAAAATTTCAAGTAGGACTAGAAACATGGAAAAAATGTTTAAAAAATTCTATCTGGCAAAAAATTTTGCCATTTATTTTTTGACATTTGACATTTTTTTATGTCTATTTAATATTACTCATGATCTTGTATATGTTTTTTTATAATTATTTAGTAAAGGTACAAAAATTTTGCCAATAAAAGCCACAAATAACATTAAACAGAGTTACAATAGCTTGCAGCAAAAAACTTGGAAAATTATTTTTCCAACAGAAATAAATAGAGTCAAAGTGCAAAATTTAAACTCTCATAACTTTGAAATTTTTAGATAGAATTTTTTTAACATTTTTTTTCCATGTTCCTGGTATCTTACTCTTACCTTACATGGCATTTTTCTCTGGGGCGCGAGTTCTGGTGCTCCCTGTATAGAAGCAAAAAAGTCTATAGAAATTACTAATAAAATTATTTGAAATTCTACAATTTACTGAATATTTTAGCTATCAGTGGTAATAAGGAAATTTACTGTTTTAATTCGTGGCCAAGTCGTAAAGTTACGATTGTAATTAAAAAAGTAGCAAATGAAGTAAAGATAATAATCAATAAACGAATAAAAAGGCGACATTTTTGGAATAAAAAACTTTATTCAGTCCTGTAGTAGTTCATTATTCTCTTCAAACAATATTTTGTACTAGTACACTTACATATTGGTTCAATTTAATTTTGATAGTAAGTTTTTTAATTCTAAATTAATTAGTATTTAGTAATTGGAATAGTAAGTCTTAAAAATAAAAACGATTTTACTTAGTAATTGTTGAAAATATATTTTTGGTCTTGACAACTGTAATTGACATATTTACACATTTTTGACAACTATGGTACTTGATTTTTACAAGGCATTTGTGCAGTGCTGTAAAAAACAAGAAAATTTAGGCTTTCAGAAACTCTGAAAAAAAACTTTATGGTAGATAAATGCACATATTTATCTGTTTATCTATTTAGCTCGAAAATAATAAACGCAATAATTCTTTTGACATGAGTAATCACGTGAGTGTTGAGAAATCGAAATCTGAATTAATCAAAGAATGGTCTTTGATCAATAAGTTTTGTACATTATTTGTGCGTTAGGTATTTTACAGCGTTCAGCTTCACTTCGAGGTTCAATATTAAAACTTCACGCTGTAAAATTACATCTACCGCACGTATAATGTAAATAAGTATTCTTTAAAGTGTAATTTATCTGTTGATTAACGAAAATCTGCACACTAAAAATTAATGAAAGCTATTTATACTATCTTTAAAAGGTAATTTGTGTGTGAATATTGCTTGATATTAATATTAAATCGTTTATTCCAGGCATGGGGGTGCCATGGCTCGCCCAAGTGCGATTACTGCACATGGCGATTTTAATATTAGCTACAGCGTCATGTTTACTATACGTGGCATATATAACATCCCCCCAATTGACGACAACGGCTTCACCCCTGCGTACGTTAGTATCATCCGAAATTCGCGCATTCCAAGGTAACACAACCCAGGCTGAAGTGGCGAAAAATATGACAGCGGCGCCCTTGAACAGCGGTTCATCCGAAGCACCTCAAATTTCAGCAGTTCGGACTTTGACAAATGGAACAACAAATAGTAGTAGTCAACCGGATTTAACTCGGGGAGTCGCCGCTGAAACAATATATGAGGCAGGTCACGTGGATGTCAGTTCGCAAATCTGCCCAGAATTAGGAAGAGATTTAAAGTTGTTGATTGCAATAACGTCAGCACCGAGTCATGAAAGTGCCAGAATGGCGATTAGAGAGACTTGGGGTCATTTCGCTAGTAGAAAAGATGTAGCTATAGCATTTATGTTAGGTTCAATTTCGAACGAAACGATTAATGCCAATATAGAAAAGGAACAATATTTGTACGGTGATATAATTCGAGGGAAATTCAGAGATACATATGACAATCTTACTCTTAAAACGATTTCGATGTTAGAATGGGTAGATAATTACTGTCCAAAAGCAGCTTTTGTACTTAAAACTGACGATGACATGTTTATTAATGTATCTCGGCTTCTTGCTTTCATTGCAAAGCACAGTCCTGAGCAAAGAACCATATACGGTCGATTAGCGAAAAAGTGGAAACCGATCAGAAATAAAAAATCCAAATATTACATTTCTCCTAACCAGTATAAACCAGCGGTTTTCCCTGATTTTACCACTGGACCAGCATATTTGCTGCCCGCTCGATTGTCGAAAGAATTATATGTCGCAGCACTTAATCACACCTATTTCAAATTGGAAGATGTCTTCGTTACTGGAATCGTGGCCAACAGCTTGAAAATCAAACGCGTGCATGCACCGGAATTTTTAAATAAAAGAGTCTCTCTAACTCCATGCAGCGTACAAAAAGGAATCAGCATACATATGGTCAAAGGTGTTGAGCAGTACGATCTTTGGAAGAAGTTACACGATGTTGCTGCAAAGTGCAAAAAATAGTGCGTGATCGAGACAATTTTTTCAATTGTGTATATTTTCATATAAACAGTATTTTACTTAAGTTAAATTATTTGGTGAATCTCATCAGGAAATTCTGATTTAGTCAAGTGGAAACGTCACTTTATTAAACGAAACTGTACAATTCTCACATGAACATCACACTATTTAATTTTTTATCATACTGTAATTAATTTAAATTTAAAAATATTATGAATCAAAGAAAATTAAAAAATTACATTATATAGATAAACAATAAGTTCAATAATTTAGAACGCATTTTTATATTCCCTGAGTAAAGAAACAATAAAATTATTGTAAATAAAGTTATCGAACCAATTTTGTTTTTTTCTGGTGTGAAAAGTTATGAAGGTATTTTAATACAGCAATAAAATTAAAACAATATTTTTTCACTTACAATGCCTTCTTTCCTTGTTCCTTTTTTATTCCAAATTTAAACCAGAAGAATTCGGATGAAAGAAAACAGAATTGTAACCGTATTATATTTTATTATCAATTATTAATACTAGACTAAATTACAAAAAATTAATAAACAATAAAGCTGCAAATAACGCAAAAAAAATTATTAATATTGATGGATAAAGACAATTCATAATTTTTTTGAACGAATCGATAAACTTGTTTTAAATAAAATAAATCCAATCGATTTCGTTTTTCTAAACGCAAACATTTATATCGTGAGCAATTAGCATTGAACGTGTATTTACGATTCCTCATTTTGTGGAGGTATATAGACGAACGATTTAATCTCTTCTAAAACTAATTCTTTCCATTTTTCAACTGGATGGTTCATATCTTCAATACTTTGATCGTAAGGAGCCGAGACAGGTTCATCATTGGGGTCAGCATAAGCCGCTAAATAAGGATGTGCCAATGCTCTTTCCGCAGTGATCCTGTTGTCACTATCCAACTCCAACATAAGACTCAACAGATGGACAGCTTGAGGATTCGCTCCAAGGAAATACTGATTCAAATCTTTCTTAGGTAGAGGGCACAGCGACTTTATGTAACTCCTTGCCTGCAATTACATTCATGACACAACAACTCGGAAAAATTCGGTATATTTTACACTTTCTGATGTTATTTTTTTCATAAATTCATCACTGGGTGTTCCTAAAATTTCCATAATCAAGTTGAGTTGGTGGATGTCTAAGAAGTGTTAAGGACTACTCTAGTTTCATAAACGAAAGTTGATAAAAAAGGATACGATCTGTTCCTGGAAATAATGTACGTCCTGTTAACAATTCGGCCATGATGCAACCAACTGACCAAATATCGACTGTTTGATTGTAGTGCATCCAGTTTAACATTATTTCGGGTGCCCTGTACCATCGAGTTGCTACATATCCGGTCATTTCGGTTTCGGTAGGTCTGGCAAGCCCGAAATCGAGGATTTTTAGCTCACAGTCTTCGTTCACAGCAATATTTGATGGCTTCAAATCCTTAAAAATAAAAATTCACTGACAATTCTTCATTCGCAGTAAAAAATCTTGTGCCGAAAAAATTATATTTACTCTATTGCTTCCACATACAAGCCGAACTACAGTAAATTGACCAAAACATCTGGCCATTAATAAAGTTGTAATTATACCATAAAGATAAAAATGTCGTAAACAGTATTAATAAAAACATTACTTCATTCATGACACTTGTGTCCAACCTTTACGACAGAATCTGGACTTTAATCATTGTTTTGCCAGCTATTTCGACTTGATTTTACTAAGAAATAAGGAAATAATAGAAATTCTCTTTGTTCTAGGATGACACTAGTAGGATCTTTTCAGTCTATTTTCTATTATTTGTAAAATAAGAAAGTACTAGCGATGAATGCAAAATAGCATTGGTTAATGAACAATCTCATGTTAATTTTGCAAAGTCTTACCCTATGTATTATGCCTGCAGAATGTATGTACTTTAGCCCTCGTAAGATCTGGTATACCAAAAATTGGACATGATCATCTGTGAGTTTTTGAGTACGTATGATGTTATTTAAATCAGCCCCCATCAAGTGCGTGACTAGATAAATCTACAATGCAAGTTTTATTGGTACAGTGGCGAACCACAGCCCCCTTACCTGGTTATTATCATGTTGTGGGTAAAAAACATCCAATAAACCTATGACATTTTCATGTCTCATATGTTTGAGCAGTTTTAATTCTCGGTACGTCCTTTTAGCATGAACTGCTGATTGAAAAGGTCGGGCTAACTTCTTTATTGCAACTTTTTTCCTATTTGAGTAAGTGTCGACAGCTGAGCTGTGAACCAAAATAGGTTAAGGTCTCCGTTTAAAAACCTAACCTATAAAACCCGATGAAAATGTGATTTTCGGGTGTTATTTTCGAAAGACAGTAATTGCAAGAGAATTTTATTTTGACTAGAGGTTCCCCTGGGTGGATTTTAATGGAAAATGGAATCGAATTTGGTGGAATTGTGATGATTGAGCAATACATGTAGGTGGTAAAATTACGTACCAAACTTGGCCGTATGCTCCAGAACCCACCGTTGATAGCATTTGGTACCTCACTGGTACTTCCCAGACGGTTTTGTTGACCTCCACTTTGTGAAAATTGGACATTTTCGACGGATTTTTGGAAAATCGTCGGATTTTCAGAGCCTCACCAGCACCTTTTTGACAGAGGAATTAGAAATAGACGAACAGAAATCACAAGTTAGAAAGAGAGACCAGGTGACAGAGACAGTGACATGTTTACGTTTTCTTTAATTACATGAAGACAACAAAGCTAAGTTTAAGTACTACCGATTTAAACACAAACTTTACCCCGCAACTGTTTTTTTTTTTCAAATTTAATTTTAGGTTTTGACGATCGGTTTGACTTTTAGGCGTAATTCAAGCGAAACTTCAGCTTTCGAATAGCAAACTCCAAACTGATAATCGCAACTGATAAAATTGTACACAGTTACAACATTTTTATATATATACAAACGTGTCAGCTGCACTTCTAACACTTTATTGCAACTTATTTATTGCAGTCAAAGGTCATGTAGGTACTTTCTTTGTAATAAATTTCTTATTTAAACGAAATTTTGCTGGGGTTTCAAAACTGGAGACACATAGGTTCACAGGCTGTCCTAACGAAAATTTGCATCTCCCAAAATTACTGATTTCGTCCAAATTTGAAAAAATTTTTGAAACAGGTCTATTTTAGCTGGGGAACCATATTTTATGCAAGTTTCAAAGTTATTTCTGCATTTCTCTAACACCCAGAGCCACCCTTCAAAAAATTTAAAAAGCAAGAAGGGTCCGGTTGCCCTTATTGTCTATGCAATCATGATTTTTTTTGCGAGGAAACAAAAGTGGTTATGAAAAAACAATTCAATTTAAGGAATATACTGCCAAAATATCTTCAAAATAATGTGTCACTCGACCCCTCTTACTATTTTTTTTTAAATTGACCTCTTTCAGCACATAAGTACCCTGGTCCAGAGACAGCATATTATATACTACCATAGATGAAATATTTCCGCTATGATACTACTAAGTTTATATATACATATACAGGTGCGCCAGAACTCGCGCCCCAGAGAAAAATGCCATATAAAGTTACCAGGAACATGGAAAAAATGTTAAAAAATTTTATCTATAAAAATTTCGAAGTTATGAGAGTTTAAATTTTGCAGTTTGACTCTATTTATTTCTGCTGTAAAAATAATTTTCCAATTTTTTTTGCTATAGGCTATTATAAGAGGAAACAAGGAAGCTCTATCCTAAATTGTAACTCTGTTCAATGTTATTTGTGGCTTTTATTGGCAAAATTTTTGTACCTTTACTAAATAATTGTAAAAAAA